GATATATAGTTGCATTCTCTTAATGAATAGAATGATTTGTTCTAATGGTGTTTGTAAATAGGATCTCAAGTCCACATCTTGTACAGCAATTAACCACTAAGAAGAATATATGCAGTGTGTTATTTGTTGAAACTGTACTTTCGATTTGATTTGAAACTTTCTCATTGTTATCTGTTTATCAATAAAATTTTGAAAAAAAAATAAGATCACAGTTATTTCTGAGAAATAGTTCTTCAAATGTATTTGAAATATCTTACTAAGAAGTACCTTAAAAAGAATAATCTTGATCATTGGCTTCACACGGTTGCATCTGACAAAGAGACTTATGAACTCCAATACTTCCAGATTAGTCAAGATGAAGATGGATCAGAGTCTGAGGACTAGGTGGTTGCCACTTGTAGGGCTTTCCTTTTCCTAAAACAAATGAAGTATATGTGAGAAAGAAACATCCAGAAATAGGCTTTTAGCTTACTGGTGAATAAAAACATTGCATTCTTTAAAAAAAACAAAACACATATATGGAAAGATCACAGGGATATATGTGTTCTGAATCAAGGGAATGTTTGTATTTCATACTTGGAAGAATCCTTACATTGATTCTTTAACCCATAATGTGAGAGCTGTTACTGTTGGAAAGGCTAAATGGAAATCACTAGAATTGTATTTACCTGGTAAGATAGGAAACCACAACACTGGTATAGCAACTGCATTGGATTTTCCACTTAATTCATTTTATAGTAATCCACCACTAGTCACTATCCACTAGTCACTATCCACCACTATTCTCCAAGACTCATAAAGATGAATGAAAATAGAGATCATAACACCTAACAAAAGAAAATATTTCCTATAAAGGAAGACAAAATTGCTTGCTACCTGACCTCTGTACAACAATAAAAAAACCATAAGCATGTGCTCAGATAAAATAACTTTCATGCTATCTAAAGTATTATCCACGAAAGAGACTTTAATAGACAAGCAGTCAGTGTCCAGAACCCTCTCGCAGGACACACTTGCTTCCTCCCCTGCTAGTTTAGCAGTCAGCTGCCAGTTGTCAACCATTGGCACCTTCCAGTACTACCTGAGCTGCAGAGACCCACTCTGCCTAAGGTCATGCACTTCCTGAGATGGGCACATCCAGGGCCCTGAGGATGAGGCCCTGATTGAGAAGGAGACAGAAAGGTTTGGCTGTTTCCTCCCAAGGAAATTCAGTAACTCCAATGGGGTCACATTCATAGATCCTTCTGCAATCAAAAGAGGCTTTTAGGGCTGGGGAGATGGGTCAGCTGCCTGGAAAGCGCAAGGACCCAGGTTTGATTCCCCATATCGAATGCCATGCTGGCCACTGAAACCAGGCATGGTGGCACACACCTGTCATCCCAGCGCTGGGGAGGCAGAAACAGGAGGATGAAAAGTCTGAGCTGCATAGTGAGACCCTGTAACAAATAAATAAATATATTAAAATAGTCTTTTGTTTGACTTGTATTAAAGACATACTTTTTTTAACGGTACCAGGGATAGAACTCAGGACCTTGTGCTTGCCAGACAAGCATTTATTCCACTGAGCTATCTCCCTGGCCCCCAAGACATACTTCTTTCTCTGCCCATTCCTTTCTTTCTCTGCCCATTCCTGCCACCTTCTTGCCTTTTCTTGAGTGAAGACTAAATATATGTGTAAAACATACACACCAGAGCACCAGACACAAAGTCCCATAAAAAGCTCAACAAGAGGATCAAGTTGTGGTATGTACATAAACCAATATGCCATGGTGAACATGTTCATCATGTATCATAAAACTGTACTAATAAAACTTTAAAAAGTGGTTCTATGGTGCTTATTGTGGTGCTGGACAGTAGAAAGTAAAGAAGATTGCGATATGGCCCTGATCCTCTGTGTCCTTAGAGTTGAGAGGGGAGCTAGCACAGATATATTCCCAAATGGCACAATCTTTCTTTGGAGGAGTAATCAACAGCATGCACATTTTCCAGTTGGAGCTCCCCAGACTCCAGGATGGAGCCATCAGTGTAGGCTGGAATAGTGAGGGCATCTTTACAGAGAAGGTATGACTTAAGCCATGACTTGCAAAGTGAAAGGAACTGGGAAGACAGCACAGGGGTAGAAGCGAGGGTTCATAGAAGTAAAGAGAAGACCTGACCACAAAGCCTCTGACTTGACATGCTCAGTCAGCAAGCCCACCAGGCACTTTCTAATTCCTCCCTATCAACCTTCCGCAGCTGCTCAGAGTGGCCTTATCTCTGCAACTTCACTAACCTAAAGTAGGTCTCAAGAAATAAACATCATATGTACCCTTATCTCATTATCAGTTCAAGCAAAAAGTCAGGGTCCAAGGTAGCCAGGAGAGTTGAGTTCATACACCTGCCTGGCACAGAATCTCACTTATACTCACTCGACCTACCTTAGGGTCTAAATGTCAAGACTGAAAGTCAACATACCCACTTTTCAGCAATTGCTAAGTATACACTCTGCAGTGTTTGCATTATCTCATTGAATTTTCACAACAAACTTGTATGTTCTTGTTGGTAGGGAAAAAGCATGTAAGTTAAAGGAAGATTTATTTTAGTTCACAGTGGAGCTTTCCTGGTGCCATTTAAGAATTTTGGCAGGGGCTGGGGAGATGGCTCAGTGGAATAAGTGCTTCCCTGGCAAGTGCAAGAGTCTGAGTTCAATCCCAGGTTCCACAAAAAAAAAAAAGAACTTTGGCAGACCCTGGGCAGCCTATGGTACTCTTATAAGCTCTGACCTTCCTTAGCCCCCAGTGCACATGTGTGGAGCTTCTGCTGGTGCTGCTCAAGACTTTTATGAACTTAGGAGGACTCTGAGTAGCCTGTGAGATGTAGGAGAGCCGCGATCTGTGGGCTGAGTGCATGCAGATGCTATGCTTTCCTGGAGCCATTTAAGAACTTTAGCAGGCACTGGGCAGCCTGCAGGACTCTATCTGGGTGATTACTGGGAGCTTCAAACATGCCAAAACACAGGAGCAAAAGGCAATCTCAATCCTCTAGCCCACCCAGAACAAGTGTAGGAGACAAAGACATACAAGAACTTGGAAATCTCTGAAAGAAAAGCAACTGAAGTAAAGAAACAAGTCCATCAGGCTCTAGAAGAAATAAAAAAAATCCTTCCCAAGCTTTGGGGGGCTTGAAGGTTAGCTTAGTTGTTTAAAGAGCCTGCTTGGGGAAACTCAGTCAGGCACAGGGGACCGTGGTTCAATCCCCAGCTCCACATGCCACACCAAATCCTCCCTTAAGGCAGCCTGAGCCAGCCCCCTCCCCCCAAAAAAATCCTTCTCAAGAAGAAATAAGACCAGAAATAATCTCTCAAGTGCAAAAAGAAAGGACAACAATCAAAAAAGAATTGCTCAGCACATGAAGCCAGGGAGATGGCTCAGTAGAATTAAGCGCTTGCCTGGCAAGTGCAAGGGCCTGAATTCAATCCCCAATTCTGCCAAAAATAAAAAAATAATTTTAAAAAGAACCACGGAAGATTTCTCAGCACAAACCATCAAATGAAGAAAAGCTGGGAGGGAAACATTTCAGTTCCTGAAAGAAAATAACTTCCAACCCAGACTGATGTACCCTGCAAAACTATTTATCAAATTCAGTGGTGAAATAAGATCCTTCCATGACAAAGAACAATTGAAACCATTCATGACTAGAAAACCAACACTATGAAAAGTACTGACATATTCTAAAAAGAGGCAGAAGAGATCACAGCTTCAATAACGGAAGAGAACCATCAAATAGAGCATGTAATTAAAAAGAGGGAAATATTACACAAACTATGATAGGAAAATAACATGACAAAGAAAAAGCAGTTATAACCATCACTGTAAATGGCCTCCATTCACCAATTAAAAGAAACAGACTAGCAGAGTAGATTAAGAAACAAAATCCAGTAATATGCTGCACAAAAGAAATACATTCAACTCAAAAGAAAATTCACAGACTAAAAGTCAAAGAATAGAAAGCAACCCTCCATGCCACAGGGAATCAGAAAAAAACAGGGGTAGCTATTCTGGTTCCTAACAATGTCAACTTCAAACCAAAAATCATCCAAAGAGATAAAGGGAAAACTCCAAGAGGAAGTTATAACAATAATAAATACATATGCACCCAATAGAGAAGCATCTTCTTACATAAGACAAATTTTAACGGAAAAGAAAAATCAAATGGGCAATAATAAAATAGTAATGGAGAATCTTGTAGATTTAATCACCAAATTCAGCAATGTAGCAGGATACAAGATCAACAACCAAAAATCAGTAGCATTTTTATACACAAAGAATGAACACAGTGAGAAAAATTAGGGAAACCACGCCTTTCATAATAACATCCAAAAAAAGAAAAATGAAATACTAAGGTATCAATTTCACAAAGGATATAAAAGATTTATACAATGAAAGTTATGGTAATCTGACAAAAGAGATTGAGGAGGATTTGAAAAAATGGAGATATTCCTTGCTCCTGGATAGGAAGAACCAACATTGTGAAAATGGCCATATTCCCAAAATTGTTATACAGATTCAAAGCAATCCCGATTAAAATACCATTAGTATACTTCACAGAACTAGAGAAAAATTTCCTCAAATTCATTTGGAACCAGATGAGACCCAAAATATCAAAAGCAATTCTGAGAAACAAAGGAAAGGCAGGAGGCATCACAATCTCTATCCTATAATAGTTTATACTATAAACTACTGTGATAAAATCAGCATGGAACTGGCATAGACAGACCTGAGGATCAGTGGAACAGATTAGAAGATGCAGACACAACTGCAAACACACTCAGCCACCTTATCTTTGATAAAGGGGCCAAACAGGCTCATTGAAAAAAGATAGCCTGTTTAATAAATGGTGCTATATAAACTGGTTTTGCACATGCCGAAGGCTAAAACTAGATCCATGCCTATCACCATGTACAAAGCTACAGTCTAAATGGAACAAAGATTCAAATATTAAAGCAGAAACAATCTACTGGAGGAAAATGTAGGTAGAAATCTTAAAGACACAGGGGTAGGCAGAGAGTTCATGAACAAAATCCAAACTGCATGGGAAATACTTCAAAGAATCAACAACTGGGATCTCATCATTTTGAAGTTTCTGCACTTCAAAGCAAATCTCCAACAGAGTAAAAAGAAACCCAGCAAACTGGGAAAAATTATAGCCAACGGTCCCTCAGACAAAGGCTTTCTATCTAGAGCACATACAGTAGTAAAAAAAAAAAATCAGGCCCACCCAAATTCAAAGACCCAATCAAAAAATGGGTATCTGAGATAAATATGTACTTCTCAGAGGAAGAAATACAAATGGCAAGTAAATATATGAAAAATGTTCAACATCATTGGTCATCTCAGAAATGCAAATTATA